GCTGAACAATGAAAAGCCAGAGTGGACACCTGAAGGGTGTCAATATTATATCCGTAGGTAGATCTGGCAAGTTTGCCAAGTAGATTGTTATTGGTCTTGATTTTGGCAGCAAGTCTTCTCAGCTGGTTGTAGTAAGCCAGAGGTCTATCAAGAACAAGGCCAAGATAAACCAAATATAAATTATATTCCAGTGGGAACTCATTGAGGGATACAATCAGTTCCTGAATTACAGAAGTAGAAACCCCAAACTAATTTCAAAGCGTTCAAGTACCAGTTACAGCAGTAGTTGGATATAACTGTCAGATCAGAATTCAAAAGTGTTCTTTAGGTCAGAAAAAAATGCATACCCATGCAACTGTCATCAACATAGATGAATTCATGGATAAAAATATTATGTAGATCACAGGAGTACAAGTGAAAAACAGTTGGTAATAGTAGTCAACTTTGTGACAGTCATTAAGTAGAGATTTCCATGAACTGGTTGGCATCATTTCCATGACCTGTGAAATTTTATTTGCACCAAAGTTCTACAATATGAACAAACTGACTCAAGAATATTCTAGATAATTTTACAGTAACGTCAGTGTGCTCTATCTTGTTCTGGGCAGGCAAGGTACTTTGACAAGATATGTTATCTTGTATTAGACCAACTGAGTAGTTGAATAAAAGATATCACATCTACTCAAAGTACTTTGCCTGCCTATGTCCTTAGACCAATACGGCTACAACCAAAATCCCAGTATCGTGTTCTAGGCAGAAGTCAGATCAAGGAACTCGGAACCAGTCTCTTCAAATTTTTCTGGTCCATTTTCAATAGGTGTCATTAATTCAAGCACTGGAGCTATGAAGAAACTTGCCTGATGTGTTCCTGTCTGCTGTTCTCTACCAGAACACCCTGTGTCTGCTGTTCTCTACCAGAACACCCAACTTTCCCCTGGAGCAGTGCAGGGAGTTGGCAGAAGGGTGGCTGGGTGTGCTGGTGGCCAAAGAAAGCAGCGGGGATAATACACGGGGTGCGAGAAGCCTGGGCAGGATCAGAGAAGCATTGGATTGGGTGCCTCTGAGCTGGGGCAGCATCCGGCCAGCTAGCAACCCACCTGGGCTTCCAGCACTCCATGCACCATCCCTGCCACCTTCTCCAGCTGCCAGCAAATGCAGCTGCCCTCTGCCACCTTCCCACGCTGCCCCAAGGGCAAGGCAGTCCATTCCCAGGTGGCACCAGGCACGCTTCAGCCTTCAGCCTCAGGAGCCTGCTGAAGGCTGAAGCGGTGAGGGGCTTGATCTTTTTTTTTCCCCTGAGGAGCCTGCCCACCTCTCCAACAACTGCAGGGCAAGCTGAAAGATCAATGGCATAGATTAATGGCACCCCCAGCTGCTGGAGAGGTGGGCAGGCTCCCCCCCCCAAAAAAAAAAAAAAATAAAAGGATCAGGTTTCTCACTTCTGCCTTCAGCAGGCTCCTGCAGCTGGCAGGACAATCATGTATATAGAGTGATGGAAACTGAAATGGTGAGATTTCAATTAAAAACTCACCAGTCCAATTTAGGGAGCATAGACTACAACCCAAAGGATTAACCCCCCTCATGTGTACAAGTGCCCCTTGGTACCACACGCTTAGAATCTGGCAGCATCTACTCAGCCTTTCACCTTTCTTAGATAGATGAGCTGAGTTCAAAGTACCTTACTTGTGTGTTTAAAAGACAGTATGGGGAGATCTGTGCACAAGACCCTAAAAAAGGTCCTGGCTGTTCAGAATGGACTTTGAAACAGCCTGTGACACATTTCATAAGAGGAAGGCTTGCTCTTTCTCCCCTGCCTGGCTAAAACTATCCCTCCACTCCTTAGTATTCTATGCATCAGCTATGGGATCATTCAGGGTGAAAGGCAATGTGTGAATGTAAGGTATAATGAGAATTAATAGTTGTAAAAGTCATGTGTAAGGTCTCCTGCAGTGTAAAAGATGACAGCCATCCACTTAACATGTGAGACTGGGAAGTTCTGCTTTGAGCAAATCAATCTAATTAAGTAGCAGTGGCCAACTGTTTATATTTAAAATACATAAAAACAATCCCTTGTAGTATGAATAGATCCAACAGTAGAAAATAAAGCACAGCAATATCATGGAGTCATGGTTAATGTGACAGCTTCTGTTTATCTTAACTTTCGGTAGCTTTAAAAACGAGAACCAAGAGGGAGGAAGCAGGAAGACAATTTAGTGTTCAAGAATAGCTGGTGTGAAAGGAAGGGAGGTTTCCCTTTGCCGTGTGAAAAAGATAACTTGCAAGGTCTTGTTCTCTCTTTAAATATACTTTATGCCATTGACTGGAATTTACTGAGTACCTGAACATTGAGGGCTTTTAAAAATATTTATATGAGTAAAAATCTTGTTTAATATTTTTTTTAAACAACATAGATCTTACTGGTACATAAGGTTTGGGGGATTTTTTTTATGGCAGGGATTCGTACCAGTGTTACTGTAAATCATTCAGACAAATATATACATTTGGATTACATGGCTATTTGCTATTAGTCTTATTTTGTCACATGTTTCATATAGTGATTTTCAAAAGCCATAGTTGCTGTAATGCATCGTAAGCTCAAGCAAAAGGTAGCCAACAAGACTCATAGTTTTAAATATTTAACTTTTTATAATCATATCTTTTTTTAGAGGGACAGATTTTCCAACAGATTCAGGTAGACAGTTGGGCAAATGCCCAGTTCTGGTTGTTTAACCATAAAATGATTGCACTTTAGGTATTCAGGCTACCATTAACTTTTCTGCATTCTTGCCACCAATATCTAATTCACTAGTATGAAATTAGTATACACACACACACAAATACAACCATGAGAGTTATACAGATAGTCTATCACAGTAATAAAGTTGGACACTTGAATTGCATGTCAGTGCCAACATTTATTCTCTTACTTCTCTTTATTCTCTTAGATCAATAATGAAGCCTGCACTTTCCTGTGGTTGATAGAAAAAATATTCCTGAAGAAACCTTGAGAAAGTACTTTAATAGCTTGGCTATGACTTTTCTCGGTGGAGACATTTGGCTACATCAGCACCTTATTCGGGCCAGATAAAGTTTAATATTTCCTCAGACCTTGGCTTTGATTTATGAACAGGTTAACAGGTATACATTGTGTGCTTGTTTGACGACAACGTGTAGTGTGAATAAAGCTTTTACAGGAGGCAGTGTATTCAGCACAGGCCTGGGACTTATAAGGCTTACCTCCTATTCCACTTTATCACTATCTCACTGTTTAATGCAGAACAGATCCAGTTTGGTTTTGGAGACTCCACAACAGGATTGAGGTTGACTATATAAGGAGCCTAAATGCCTAAACCCAGTCAGTTTGGATTACTTTCCCAAGGTGAGGGGCCTCAGTTTTAGACATTGAGTGTTGGGGCACTTACATTAAATGCAAGTGCCCCAACACCAAACAAGACTGGATGCTTTGTCCCCTTCTGTAAAATGATTATAATAACCGGCTACCTCTCTGAAATGGTGCTACAAAGCTGAGCTCCTTAACATTTGCAAAGCACTAAGAAATCCTCCCATGGACTTCCTAGTTGTTCATAATTGGTAACTGAAAAATATCAAGAAGCCAGGTAGTGGTAATCCTAGTGAAGACTTATGGGTTCATTTATTAAAATGACTACTTTGTCTTAGGACTGCACTGGGATATTTTAGGGCCAAATGCTCAAATCAGAACCTTCACTGAAATCAGTGGAGCTGTGTAAATTTAGCTGAGGATATGGCTATTATTATTATTATTATTATTATTATTATAACAGCTTCCCAACCCTAATTCTAAAACCAAGAAGCTGTCACATGAGCTGTTCATCCCAGTCCAAATTCAGAAAAACCTGTGCATTTGGGAAAGCACATAAGCATCATTAAATATAGACTCTAACTAAATCTCAGCACAAACTTTCATACTGTTCTGAATAGGAATGGACTTAAGTCAATGCTTAAGAGCTTTTCTGAACTGGATCCTTGTCTTGATTTTTTTTGTTGCTGAAAGTTGACAGGTAAATCTGAAAGTCTCTGATTTTTTAGAAATGCCCTTATGCATCCTGTGCTTAGGGATGGGCTCATATCATCCCAATGTTCATTACATCTAGTACACATTTCCTAAGCTGTTTTTGCCATTGTCATTTTCACAGCACTCATTTCTTTGCCATCCAAATTGATTTTGAGTGATTAGAGAGCACTGCTCGCATCTACAGCTAAAGCAATAATGTTTCTGCCAACAGCTAAGAATGAAAGCTGGAACAGTACTCAAAATACATGTTCAGAAACATATCCATAGGGCAACTTCCTGTTTTATTGGCAAATCTACTTTTCTACCATCTAATAAAATTGTTTGAACCATGGAAGCTTAATACTGCAAAGAATATTTGATGCCTTGTTGGAAATATCATATGTTGAATCTGAAGAAATTCATTATACTCTTAGCTCATTAATTCATTGCACTGAGAAAGCACAGTCTCAGTTATCCACTTGGGTGTCCACTTTACTCATCCTCTCTAATAATTAAATATATAGATTATATAGAATTATATATAAAATTATATATAAAATTATATAGATTCATAGATGAATCTATGAATCTATATAATATTAAAGCAGGATCCTTTTCACTTTATGAACCCTAATGGTACTTAGTCTACTTCCTACTGCATCTAACACCCACAAATCATGGTTTCTTGCCTAGCTACAACTCCAGAACTTAAGTGTGTATGGCACAACATACTTGCCTGGCTAGAGAGCACCCGACTGAGCATGCTCACTAGCCATGGGGACACCTGTGTGTCTGCTGTTACACAGCTAGTAAAATGCCATGTGAAGTAAAATAGGATTCTGAACCAAATGCTCCTTTTTCATTAAGAAATGGGGGCAGGAGAGCAATCCAGGCTGACCTTGACAGGTTCAAGAAATGGGCGGACGAGAACCTAATGGAGTTTAACACTGAAAGATGCAAGGTTCTCCACCTTGGGAGGAAAAACCTGCAGCACCTTTATAGGCTTGGCAGTGCTACGCTGGTTAGCACTACAGATGTAAGGGACTTGGGAGTCATGATTGACCACAAGATGAACATGAGCCTTCAGTGTGATGCTGCAGCCAGTAAAGCAAGCAAAAATGCTGGCTTGCATCCATAGATGCTTCTCAAGCAAATCCCAGGACGTCATTCTCCCCTTGTACTCGGCCTTGGTGAGGCCGCAGCTGGAGTACTGCATCCAGTTTTGGGCTCCACAATTCAAAAAGGATGTGGAGAAGCTTGAGAGAGTCCAGAGAAGAGCCACACGCATGATCAGAGGTCAGGAAAACAGACCTTACAATGACAGGCTGAGAGCTATGGTACTCTTTAGCCTGGAAAAGCGCAGGCTCAGGAGCGATCTGATGGCCACCTGTAAGTTTATCAGGGGTGTTCACCAGGATCTGGGGGGGACGATTGTTCACCAGAACGCCCCAAGGGATGACAAGGTCGAATGGTTATAAACTTCAGCAAGAACATTTCAGGCTGAACATAAGGAAGAATTTCTTCACTGTCTGAGCCCCCAAGGTCTGGAATAGCCTGCCAATGGAGGTGGTTCATGCAACTACATTGAATGCCTTCAAGAGAAATTTGGATGCTTATCTTGCTGGGATCCTATGACCCCAGCTGAATTCCTGCTCCTTGGGCAGGGGGCTGGACTTGATGATCTTCTGAGGTCCCTTCAGCCCTAAAAAAAATAAAATAAAATAAAAAATAAAAAAATCAATAACACGTATAATATGTATGCCATAACTGGGCTTAAAACCAGAATTAAAAAATGTCAAGGAAATTAGAGACCTCTGCTTACCTCCAGAGTTGCCTTCCACAACAGTATCAATAATCATAGCTCAAAGTGCAGTGGTGTCTTCAGTCTTCTGAACATCTGCCATCAGGAAATTATTCCTGAATTATTGTAACAGTTGATTCTCACTGCCTATAGATCAGCCATCAGATGCTAGTGACTCTCAGAGTTGCTACCAAGGCAAAGAAATATTTCTGCATGTTAAGTACTGAATAAGAATTCTCCCAAAACCAGGAATGAAGAGTCAGCGTCCAATATTTTAAATCTGAAAATTCACCCAACAGAGTAGATGTATATTTGGTCAGTTTAGAGTTCTTCTCTGGAGTTGGAATAATCCAGGTGGAAAGAGAGCTAGTGTCAGGACTCAACTATGTACCAACGATGCTGGCACCATCAAGAACCGGCAGAACAAGTTAGGATTTCAATTAAGTTGCAGGAATTTGTAACATTAACTCAGGATCTATAGAGAAACTTGGGACTGGCAAAGAAAGTAAAAGTTTGTGTCAGGTTAAGAACAATTAATGGCAGGTCAGTTACAGTAAGCCATATTGCATTATAGCATCTTCCCCATTAATTGTTGATGTTATGTGATAATCGATGAGTGCTTATTTGACTCAGCCAAATGCTAATTAATGCAAGCAATTCACTCACCTAAATGGTAATACAGTATTCTCTCAACCATTGGGTATTTTTAACTGGAAACATTTATGTTGTTGTAACTACTGCTAGAGTCTGAAGAAAAGTAGCATGTCTTTTGGTCAGCATACCTCTGTGCAATGGTTGTGGGGTTTGGTTCCTTCATTTGTTGGCTGTTTTGGTTTTTTAGAAGCAAGCAGTGACAACGATGTGGACAGGACACATTTGTGAAGGGAGAAGGCTACCTCTCACACAAAATCAAAGAGTTGACAAGAAAAAAAAAAGATAAGGAGGCTTAAAAGGGGAATCTAAGTGGAGATGGTGGTAGAAACTACAGAAGAGGTGAGCAGAATAATAATATGGGGAAAATATGACAAGTGAGACAGGCCTATGAAAGTGAGCGGGAGAACTAAAGAAAAAGTGTCAAACTCTTGAGACAGGGGCGTAGGTTGTAGCCGTGTTGGTCTAAGGACATAGGCAGACAAGGTTCTTTGGGTGAATCTGATATCTTTTATTAGACCAACTTAAATAGTTGGAAAACAATTATTAAGCAAGCTTTCAGGTTCAAAAACCCTTCGTCGGGCTAAGGAAGTTTCTGCAGTTGGTGTGTGCTCTTCCTGGATGGAACGAAACGTAAAGAAGCCAGAGGCTGGGCTGGTATGCATACAAGACCTGTCTGTCAAAACTCTTGAGAAGGATGCAATGGGGGTCTATTATCTTCCAATGTCCAAGGCTTCTGGATCTGCTCAGCTGAAGATCCTCTCTTTTAGCCTGGGGAATCCTAAAGAGACATTACAGCTGACAACTATCCCACATTTTTAGGCACCTCAAAAAAAGGGGAGGGAATCAAAGTAAAGTGCTGTGATTAGACTGTGGTTATGTTCTGGCAGGCCTTAATTAACCAATAGCCTCTTCAGGGCTGAAACTGTCTAGACATAATTTGACCAGAGGGTAATTTGTCACCACCGTTACCCCAGAATCCAAGAATGGGAGGTGGCTTCTTTGCAGCTCCTCACCTGAGCTGCTCCAAATACATATTGGATGCAGCTGAAAACCGAGTACCAGCTTTTTAAAAAGGCACAGTATGCATGTGAATGTATTTTCTTTTGGCCATTGCACTTCAGTTGTTTAGCATACAGAAGAAAGTAACATATCCATTTGGCATCCAGCTTTAACTACAACTAAAATGGACGATTAACGCTGTTGTTTAAGAGCCTAAGTTTTGCCTTTCATGCCCTTCCCCACCCCTGTCACATTTGGGAAGCATGATTACTATTCCTGCAAGCAACACAAGACAAGAGATTGGATAGCAGCCAGAGCCTTTTAACATCTGCATAAGACTTAACATGCTGAGCATGTCTAACAGCTGCTGCCTTTTCCAGGAGAATAGCAGCCAAAAAGACTATTATGACAGATGCTTTTCTCATCCACCAGTAAAATCTGGGACATTTTTGTAATGTATACACAAACTATGTACAGTACATGTCTCAGACCCACACTGGTGATGACTCCCTTGCAGTGGCACATTGGATGATGTTGTCCCTTTAAATTAACCTTTTAGGGGTACAGTCAATAAGTGATTTAGGCACCAGAAATGCACACACTTAAATGTGATGACCA